TGTGTGTGTGTCTGTGTCAGTGTGAGCGTAAAGAGGAGATGATAGAGAAGATCAAGCTGCTGGACATAGAGACCCAAGCTGCCATCGTCTCTCACATACAGGAGGTCAGTACAGCACAATGCTAGCCTGTGATAGAAATAAACCAGCAATAAATTAGATCACAAGTTCAAATATCTGTTGAACAACTTCACTGATAACATGATGAATGCAATCATGTCATCATGTGATCGAAATCAGTGCGGAATGTGGAACTAGTTGTTTGATAACAGGTGGTTGTAGAAGTGGGGATACTCCTGTCTTTGTCTCTCTGAGGTGGTCTCTGCCGTTAAATGTTAATGTATTCCTTGAACTTTCTCTGGACGTTCACTGACTCCTGGGGCCAGATGTATAAAACTGCAGATTCATGACTAAACCTTTGTGTATGCAGAAATATGCATGTTCTATTTTTTCTTCAGAATTATGAAGCAGTGCGCATGGGCGGTTCTGTTTTTATAAATCTCAACCATGTGAACTGAACACACATGCACAAGCCTTATTTCCACTCCGATAGTAAGCTGTAAATGGATGTCGACACCTTAAATCAACTTCATTTGCCACATGTAACTGTACCAGTGATATTTCCATCACCACTACTAACTCCACAGTGACAGAACTGGCTTGACGGCCAACACGGTGGTTCAGATCCATTTGAACTGCTATCCTAAAGGTCCTGTGTGTAACATTTCGGATGCTCTATTGTCAGAAATGGAATATAATGTTCACAGGTATGTTTTCATTAGTGTATAATAAGAATCGTGTTTTTGTTTTCTTAGAATGAGACGTTTTTACATCTACAGAGGGAGTAGGTCCTCTTCCACAGAGTCCACCATGTTAAGCTGCCATGTTTCTACAGTAGCCCAGAACAGACAAAGCAAACACTGGCTCTGGATAGGGCACTTTTTTTTTTCTTCGGCCACCTCCTACACGCTTATAAGGCTGAGCAATATTCATTTTTTTTTTTCAATCTGCAACTTCACCGCTAGATACCAATGGATCCTACACACTGGTCCTTTAATATCAGCTTAGTGAGTGACAGAACAGAGGATATGAGTGATTGGTAGGGAGGTGTACTTGCTTTTATGTAGTGGTAGTATTTCTTTTACTGTAAAATGTCTGCTGCTTCTACTCTCAGTTGCACTCCTCCAATATTTTGTATCGTCCATATCCATATAGTCCACACTGCTGACAGTTGACTTCCAGTTCAGAACCAGTTCCAAATTGTCAAATTCATTGGAATCGTATGCCTCTGAGCTTATCAATTCCTTTTATCAACGCAAAACAATATCAAACTCATTGTCGACACTACTGGAAACAAAAAGAGTCATGGCAGAGAGAAATAAACGGCCCAAAGCATGTCTTCATTTGATGCAGAAAGATAGCAGCAGTGCTCGTTGTAATCTCTGTAAAATGATCATGTAAAGTAAAGGTGGAAAAACTGGGAGAATGAGGAAACATCTTTCTCCGTAACATGGGTTTACATTTCAGGAATGCCTGTATTTGACACTGTACACATGAGTGCCACCACTTCCCAACTGAGCAGCACGCCTGTTTAAGAGTGTAAATATTCTGTTCTAATAACATTAGCGCCACGGAGGCAGGCTTTTTTATTTGACTTAGAATGCCTAAACAAAAACAAATGTTCCAAATTAAACAACGGTTAAACAGTGCAGCTTTTGCAGACCTGAGTCACATGCTTTTTTTACTCTTTTACTACACAGTATTCAGACTCCGATAATAAAACAGTTGCGGTAATGCTGAAAACCTGTATAGGCATACTTTTTTCCAACACAGAAAATCAATTGACAAAGAATCGGACCGATAAAGGTATCAGTAAAATCGTATCAATTCCGATCCCTACTGTAGTGTACAGAATTACTGGATTTTCTCTGGAAAAAGGAAGATATATAATAAACAGTATAAACTGGAACCAGGATCAATAGTCAAAAGTCGAATAGAGTAATCAAGTGTCTGCACATGTAATTTATCAACTCAAGTGGAACAATGTTGACCTGTATGTTAGTTAAGGTGGTTAGAGTTGAAATGATATATTACCGATGTACACTGTGGTAGCTTACAATCTTTTTCCTGTTCACTCGTTAACGTAATGTGTTGGTTGATAAAATGATGTTGCTACTGGAGCAGCACAGTTTGGTAAATGTGTCATCATCAGTACCAGATATCAGGTATTACAGTAGCCATTTGTTCCCTTAAGTGTGTTCACTACAACCTCCTAGAAATGCCAGACACCATGTACATTGTTTTATCTCCATGCAGCATGAAACATGTCTAACATCAGCTGACATCATAGAACAATAACAGCAGTGTCAGCGGTAATCAATTAAAAGACTGTCCATTTTGTTCTCAATGTGATATTTAATATAGCTACTTCCTATTTTCAGACAGCTTGTTTATTTACTTCAGCTCAGCCATATCAAGTCAGCCCTTTATTTCTCAGACAAGCTATTATCTCCTGGATGACATCAGGCTAATGATGTTACCATGCTATTTAACCTCTCAGCCCCACAGAAACCTCAAAGAAGCTGCCATAACCTGCTGTGTGGACAACCTTTGTTCACTCAGAACCCCATTATTTTTAATTCCTGTTAAGATCACAAGGTCAAACATGTCAAGCCGAATTACAGTGTTAAGTGTTACATGTTCAGTAAATACTACAGTCAGATATTTTATGTACCTTAGCAAAATGTTTAAGGGAAGTATTGGGGACATACAAATTCAAATGGTTAAAGGAAAATACAGTTGTCCTGCTTTATCTAAAAAGGAAGCCACTATAATACTATATACAGTCTGACTTATGCTGTATTTTATGTGTTTGTTGCAGGTGACTCATAACCAGCTGAATGTTCTTGACCTGTCCTGGCTGGAGGAAGGATCAGAGCTCACACATGACGAACTGGAACCTTTGTCCCGCAACATGGCTGCGTCGCTACGGCAACTGATTGACCAGAGAGACAAAGCCAGTGAGGTACAGACACCAAACATTATTGGCTACTTATATCATTATTATGATGCACTTAATTTGGTTACATGCATTTGATTATTGTGATTAAAGTCCAATTTGTAGTATTCAATGGTGTAATGCTGTGTCAGAAGATTTCTACTCAAACACACTGATAAATACATTTATGTTGGGAAATTCGTAAAATTTTAAAGGTATGAAAAGTTCACAGAAGTCTGTTTGTAGCATTATTTCAATGGAAAACCAAGAATTAAAAAAAAAAAAAAATTAATTTTAATTCATTAAAAAATGAATGCCTTTCAGGTTATTGTGGATCTGACCCAGGAGAGGGACTACCTGTTCAGTCAGCAGCCCCAGGAAGGGTGCAGGAACCTGGGATTGAGCAGCCCAGAACGTGGGAAGAGTTCTGGAGGTGTGGGAGTGAATAACGGCGGATCATCTGTGATTGTGCCTGGGCTGACCAAAGAGGAGAAGCAGCATCTATCTGTGGAGCTCGCTGATACCAAGGCCAAGCTGCGCAGATACAGACAAGAACTGTGAGTCTTCTGTAACTTAGTAAAGCAAGAGAGTAAAGGCTGTGATGTTGGTCCAAGAATCTGTTCATAAACTAATTCAAATTATTCCAAGCTGCTTATTATATTTCATATAATGTTAACAATGTTATTCTATGACTACTAGTAATGTAAAAGCTGTTGCTCGTACTGAGGACCCACAGAATCAAATCTCCCAATGTGGCTAAAGCAGTAGCTCATTGCACACTACAGAGTTCAAAGAGTTTCTGTGGGTATCACTGGTTTAAGGCTGAACTGTGGTGACACAAGCAGCAGCTGGAAGTCATTATGCATCCAACATTGCTTATTATGCTGTCTGGTTCTGATACATCTACAATGTAATCACATAGGGGATCCATCTATTTGGAGGTACACTCCCACTTTTGCAGAATATACTGTCTAGATTCTTTTAGCTAGAAATATTAAAGACTTCCAGTAAGACAAGTCCACTGTATGTTTCTCCAATCTCATTAGTTGTCAAACTCTATCATTACTATCAACCTATGTAGACATTACCTGGGTGTGGGGCTGATTATACACTACAACATAATGATGGATTGTAAAATGTTTAATTGAAGTTAAACTGTTCTGTTGTGTTCTCAGGGAGGAGAAGACGGAGCAGCTGATGGATTCAAAACATGAAGTGGAGCGTCTGGATCAGGAGTTACAGAGACTGAAACAAGAGGTCAGGACCTACTTCTGACCAGTACTGTCAGATCTGTATGATTAAAGTAAAACACACTACACACTTGGGCATTGATTACAGGCAGTTTTATGTTGTTAATTGTATCAGGGCTGGTCCAATCAAGTTGTGAGTCTGAAATGTTTTTGTTTGTCTACACAACACACTTCAAGCTAGGGTTGTGTAATAATATTGACTTATTGTCAGTCAATAATGGTTTTATAATGGAATATGCCTATGCCGATATATTCACCAAAAATATGTGCATATTGGCATTTCTAGAAAATATTGGAATATTGGATATTGGCAAAAATCCAATATTGTGCATCCCTCCTTCAGATCTGATATGGATGTTTCCCTGCTGTGGCAGCTTTGAACAGGGTCTGGGAATTTAAGGGTTGCTTTTGTTTCTTAAAGCAAATCAATTCTGCTCACATTGAATCACAGTGCTATTATAAGAAGCACCAACAACATCTATTTATATGTCCGTGCTGCCTCGACAGCTCTCAAGCCTGTAGGGTAATAAGTTACAATACACAAACCATCAGAAATAGATGGTAGTTTATACAGTCGATCAATTTAAAAATCACTTTATCACACTTCATACAATCATGTTGATTGACGTGGGACACCCTTGGTTGTTGCATTACAACACTTACAATAACTTTGTGTGTGTGTGTGTGTGTGTGGGGTTCAGAACCAGTCGCTGTCTTGCGAGGCTCGTTCGGTCAGAGTGTACCGGGACGAGGTCGACTCTCTGAGGGAAAGAGCGGCCCGGGTCGACCGACTGGAGACTGAACTGAGCAGATGTAAAGAGAAACTCAATGATGTTCACTTCTACAAGACCAGAGTGGAGGTATGAGCACAGCTTCACAATAGACTACACATCAACATACACTTGAGCCTCACCTTGAAAGACTGTATCCTGTATTGGGTAGGATCTGTAAAGGTTCACTGGATTGCAGTGCTTTTGTAGATTTTCATACTGTACTAGATTGTCAGTATATTCTATACTGTACTTAACATTTTCTTACTTTTAATTAATATTTTACATATATATGATATCATATATGCAACGGTTGGGTGCTATGTTTAATAGTGATCATTTGCTGCTATAGTTGATATATATGTCTGGTTTAATTATAAATGTAATGTATGATTTACATAACCACTTTATACAGCGTCATAAACTCTACATTGTATATGCATAAACCTTTCACCTGTCAGAAGAGACACACAATGAAGCCAGACTGACTCAGCAGCTGCAGCTGAAGTGGCAGTCCACTCAGTGTGTGTGTGTGTGTGGTCATTCAGGAGCTTCGCGATGACAACTTAACTCTGATGGAGACAAAGGTGCTGTTGGAGGAGCAGCTGTCAGCTGCCAGGGGGCGCTGTGATAAACTGCACACGTTGGAGAAAGACAACCTGTTGCTGCGAGCTAAAATCCACGACCTGGAAATGGTATTACACATTGTCATTATCAACGAAGTATACGTCACAGTTATGTATAGGCTATTTTAAAGGCTGAACCATATTATACTCTGAAGGGGACAATGAAACTGCAAATGTTTTGGTGCAAACGTATATAAGTTATATAAAATATGTTGAGTTATAAGGTAATTTTGCACATTATCAGCCCCAAATATCTGATCAAAGCAACCATGATTATGATTATGATTTTTGTCCTTACATGTAGGCACAAAATATTGCCTATTAGCACCCATAATTCAATAATACTTTACTGTTACTGTTAACCTATTACTGCAGGAGAGGGACAATGAGCGTCGAAGGTTGGAGGAGCTGGTGGAGGAGAACATGATGCTGGAGATTGGACAGAAACAGAGTATGAACGAGTCAGCTCACCTAGGCTGGGAGTTGGAACAGCTGACCAAGAACCATGACAACACTAACACAGAGAGTATGACACACACTTTGTTTTTCTATTATATTCTGTTATATCCTGTTCTATTTGTGTGTCCAGAAATGTTATTCTTTATATTTTGTCTCTGCTGCAGCTCGTAAGTCGCTGGTCCACGAGCTGAACGAGTGCGTTTCCAGCCGGGCATTGAAGCTGGAGAAGGAGAACCGGGAGCTTCAGGCTTCTATAGAGAGACTGAAAGAAGAGAACCACCTCCTGCAGGAGCAGCAGCTTCACACACAGGAGCTGGACAGGGAGAACCAAAGCCTCAGCAAGAAGGTAGGAGGCCTGAATGTGTTTAAGCCCTTTAACACATTTATCGCAGTCTGAGTCTATAAAATATATCTGCAGAATAACAGATTTAAGTGTTTTTTATTAGTTGTTTGTATGTTATTTACAACTACAGCACCTTTTATGTTGTTTGTGTGTTAGTTGGAGCGTCTCCAGGGTTTATTGGATCAGGAGAGACTGACCAATCAGGACATGGAGTCTCTGGGAGAAGAAATACTGAAAGAAAAACAGAGTCTGGAGAAAGAAATGCACACTCTGAGTGCAGAGAAAGACAGACAGGTTGGTAACACACGCACACGCATACACTCAGGTATGACACTGTCGATGTTCGTTATAAGGGACCTAAATGCGTCCTTTATTGACGCCCTCTTCCTATCATCCCGTCCAATCAGATCTCAGAGTTGGAGAGCGAGAAGCAGCACCTCTCTGAGGCGGTGGTGTCCCTTCAGGAGCGCGCTCAGTCTAACAATGTGGCGAGGGTCCGTGAGGTGGAAACAGAAAACCGCCTGCTGCACCAGAACATCACGGACACCAGCTCCCGATTGGCCAGCTTAGAAACCCAACTCAAACTAGCCAGTGAGGAGGCAGAGAGGCTGAGGGAGAGGGCAGGGCGGTGTGAAGAGGTGGAGAGAGAGGCGGCAAGGCTAGAGAGGAGCAGGGACGCTCTGAACAGAGAGGTAATAAAAATCAATAAAAACAATTTGTGTGATGTATTCTTTATTAAATGCTAACTGAACTGATCAAAATAATTGTAAGAGACATGCTGTTTTACCTTTTTAGGTGAGCTCTCTGCGTGCATGCAGTGAGCGGTCAGAGGCTCTAGAGAAGCAGGTGTCCTCCCTGGAGCAGGAGATGCACAGACTGAAACGGGAGGCAGAGGAGGCCCAGCAGCGAGTGGGGAGGCACGAGGGGGAGAACAGCTTGCTGTCGAAGGAGAACCTAGATCTGCGCTGCTCCATGGAAAACCTGCGCTCCTCAACCGCCCGCCTGGCCACCCTACAGGAGGAGCATAAAGACGCACAGAGAGAGATACAGGAGCTGCAGAGGAGGCTGGAGGAGGCCAGAGAGGAGGCACAAGGAGAGAGGAAGAGGGTAGAGAGGCTTGAGCTGAATGTGACTGCTCTGAACCAGGAGAAGCATCGCTTGGAGGAGGAAGTGCAGAGGAGCAAAGAGGAAAGGGAAGAGGTAGAGCGAGAGAGTCGGGATACGCAGACCAGAGAGGAAGAACTGAGAAGGGAAGTCGAAGAACTGAAGCAGGAGCGGAGAAGGAGGGAGGAAACTGACAAGGAGAGGAGGAAGCTCCAGTTGGACCTAGAGCAGTCGGAGAAGGGCAGGAAGCAATTGGAGAAGGAGAGCTGGAGGATCAGAACGCTGCTGGAGGGTAAAGAGACAGAGCTGGAGGAGAAAGCCAGGCAGCTAGCTGCAGTGGAGAAAGAGGGCACAGCTCAGAGTAAGCAAGTGGATAGGCTGAAGGAGGTGGTAGTTAAAGCTAAGGAGCTGGAGAGGGAGAACAAGGAGCTGCAGAAACAGGCGACTATTGATAAGAGGACTCTGGCTACTCTGAGAGAGGTGAGAGGGAAAAGCTTCAGGACTTGTCCCACAGAAAGTCTATATTCTTGCATGTGGTAAAAGATTTTCATCGAGTGAACATGTTCAGGTCTAAATGAACAAGTAAACAAACTTCCCTTTTAAATATTTGTTGACAAAACAATCTCACCATTCGGTCCGATGCTCTGGAGCTTTTGATTGTATCAATCTTTGTGATGGATGACGTTTTTCCAGATGTCACTGAATTTGATGTTAAGTTTCTAAGTTCCTTCTTGATCTTGTAAATATGGCTGCACAATTAATCGAATATTAATAGCGATCATGAATTTGGCTTCCCACAATTAAATTACGTGACTGTCTACGATACACGTGTTATGGAATATATATCTTTGTGTGCAGGAGCTGGTGTCAGAGAAGCTGAGTGTTCAGCAGCAGAGTGTCGAGTTAGAGAGGCTCAATGAAGAACTGGAGAAGATTGGACTGAACAAAGAAAAACTACTGCAGCAAGAGCACACACTGGAGGACAGGTAGTTTTCTCTAATATATGGTATTTTGGCCCCATTGTAGGGCTAGTAATCAGGTTTAAAATATTTCACATGTAGAAATTCATCTTGGGTGTGTAATTGATTCTGTGTAATTGTCTGTCAGTAGGTACAGGCTGCTGGAATCTCGTCTGGAGGAAACTGTCCAACAAACAATGAAGATTAAAGAAGAGAAAATTTCTTCTCTGGAAAAGAAAGTGGAAGAGAGCAACGCACTCAGCGCTACACTACGCACCGAACTAGCTACTGTAAGGACATGCATACAAATTCTTACCAAAAATCGTTCTAAAAAAAAAAAAACTCACTCCCCACCTGGTTGGTTAAACCAACTATCTAATCCTGATCCTCCGTGCTGTAATGAGACTTAACGTAATATATGTCTCAGTAATCCAAAGTCCTCATCATTTGCTCACTCACAAGTTAAAGGTTATATATACAAAATTTACTTGACACTAGATGTCGCACTAGAGCACAAGCATCTCAGACCAGTCAGTGAGTATTGCAGCCAACCAGACTCCATTGACAAAACCAATTATTTTACCAAGCAGATAATTGTAAAACACCTAAAACTGTACAGAAACCAAAAGAGTTCCCACAGAGATAACCAGAAACAGTCCTATTATATCTATCGCTCTCCACCAGACTCCACCAGACGGTAATTTTACTTTGCACATCATTGTAACATTGTAACTTTATTCAAAGTGGACAGACACAAAATAAAATTCACCAAAACAGTCTGTTAGTCTTTCCACTGTTCCAACAACAGTTACAAACTCTGGTTTGGTTGAAAACAATCCTTATTTCACAGATGCAGATGAAAGAATCAGCTGTTTCTGGATATTTTGCAATATTGATTAGGAGTTGTTTATATGCGTATTCAATTATATATTATTATAAGGTGTTGTAGAGTGTGTTAAATATATATTGTTCTGCTGTAGGCTCGTCAGACAGTGTCTACTCTACGTCAGCAACAGGAGGAGGAAGCAAACCACAACTTCCAGCAGCACTCTGGCAACGACCGGGGTCAAGGGTCAGCCACCGCTGAACTGCTACGAATCAAAGATCATCTTATTGACATAGAAAAGAATGTACGTAAGAATGTAATGGTTTCTTTAATGTTTTCTTTAGATGTTTATTTTCCTATACTTCATGCTTTCATTATTTACCTTATTAATTGTTTTGGTGTCATTATTCTCTGCAGAATGCCTCCCTGCAGACGGAGAGCAGTTTATTGAAGGAGCAGCTCAAACAGCTGGATAACCAGAACACAGCTCTGAACAACCAGATGGTGGCACTGCAGCGACACACCACCACCCTGCAGGAGCAGAATTCAGCTTTACACACACAGACAGCCAAACTACAGGTAAACAATAAACAATTTACTCACATTGTGGTTTTGTGAAACTGGGCTAATCAGTGGCAGTAACACCCTTTGTGCTGTATTTCTCTGATTATGTTTTTGTTGTTGATTTGTTAATGTTCTAATGGATCTCACTATGTCTCAGGTGGAGAACTCCACGCTCTCCTCCCAGAGTGCATCTCTCATGGCCCAGAATGCTGTGCTGCAGGGCCAAGTCACCGCCTTGGAGACAGAGGTAGAGTCGTGGCAGCGGCAGCGCGAGGAGGCGTGGCGGGGCAGAGAAAGCGTGCTCAGCGACCACGAACGCCTACTGAGCGTCCACGAGAGGCAAGCGCACGAGTACGAGCAGCTAATCAGCCAGCACACTACACTGAAAGGAAAACAGAGGGCGCTAGAGGGTGAACACCGGACGCTACACAGCAAGTAAGTGAATAACATACAAACCATAGAATGTCTTTGATAATCCTTGTCCTTTAAAATAACCCTGTGAGGTAAACGCATGATCAGTGAGGACAATTTAGTAGATCAGAAGCTCAATAAGGTCTTTTATTCTAAAGGCTGTTATTTATAGACCGTGTTACTGAAGTATGACTGTAGCAGAAATTGTGTGTTGAGCCGGATGATGAACTGTCCCATGACACTGTTGTTGTTTTATAAACATTTTATCAATAGAAGAAACTTAACTTTGGATTGAATTAACTCTGTTAAAGTCACAACGTTGAATTTTAATCAAATCTGTGAAAATTTATTTGTGGAAAAAATGAGCATTACTTGGTGAATACTCTGAGCGAATGTGGCATGATATACAGAGCTATAGGATTGTTCGCTCCCATCCATACCTCAGAAGGTAGTGGTTCAAATAATATCACTCCTCAGCCACATTCTTTGGAAATATAAACAAAGTTTTTGCCAGCTGAAATCACACCTCTTGTGTGTGTTTGGGCTGTTGTTGTTGAGACTACATTGGCTTGCAGAAACCTGCAAGTGTTTAACTAGCCAAAGAAATGGAAACTCAGATTTTTAGTTCGATGATCCCCTCACACCTACTCTAACCCTAACCCTGTTCCACATCCTCACACTGCCAACCCAACTCATGTTCAGTGACATTTTAGGGATATTCTAGCTGATGCTCTTATTCTAAGAAACATCATTTTGAGGCATCTCTGCTAACCTTTTCAAACCTTTTCTTTATATTTGTATGTAGGAGAACAGTGCAGGCTGTGAGCACCACAGCTACAGAAATGTAGGCGCCATGCTCAGCTTCATGCTATCAAATGTTTGTGTAAACAGTGTAACCAAGCATTACCATGAGGTTTGCTCAAGTTGTGATCACAGACACTAGAAATAACCCACTGTGTCTGTCTGTCTACAGGTATTGTATTTTGCTGCAGCAGAAAGAGAAATGGGAGGAACAAGAGGGGCGTGGTCGGAAAGAGAAGGAAGAACAAAACCAGCAGATCCAGAAGAATCGGCTACTACAGCAAGAGAATCTGCAGTTAAAAACAGAAGTGGACAGGTACTGTTTTTTTACACAAAGTCACACTGTCAGACATTGACTGATCAGTTTGCCAACTATCTTGTCATCATTCAAGAGTCTCGCCTAGCTGTGGCTCTCTCACTTTTCAAAAGTCACTAAGTCAAAAGAATATTAGTTCAGCATTATTTTTCCAAATCAGCTCAGAAGTTGTTTTTCCTGAGGTATAACCTTTGGAATGGTTAGGTTACAGTGTAACCACTGTGGTTAAGGTCAGGCGCAGAACTTGGGAGAACAGTCAGCTACTGATTTTAAAACTAGTTGATCACTTGATGTTTCTTGTATTGGTATTATTTCCCTTCTTTCTGATTTCTTCTTTCCTCCTGTAGATTGACAGAGAGCCAGTCGCATCAGTCAGAGCAATATGAGGGGCTCCAGCAGCGCACAAACGAACTCAAGAGCTCATTAAGCTCCGCCCAGCAGGAATTGAGTCAGTGGATGGCACGATATGATTCGCTAATGGAGCAACACCAGGGTCTGGATCTAACCATGACCAAACTAGACAACCACTGTGAGGTAAACAAAGCCTTTTATTTTAAAAGGGACACATATTTCTTGTAGCACAGTAGTGTTTGATTTTAAAACTCTTCAGCTTTCCCTTTGGAGAAGTGGTCAGAATCACCATCTTTTTGTTACTTTACTGACCTGACTCCTTTGTGTGTGTGTGTGTGTGTGTGTGTGTGTGTGTGTGTGTGTGTTTTAGCTTTTGAGTCGACTGAAAGGAAACCTGGAAGAGGAGAACCACCACCTCCTAAGTCAGATCAACCTGCTAAGTCAGCAGAACCACACTCTGCTGGAGAGGAGCATGGAGAGCAAAGAGCTGTATCACCAGGAACAGAAACTATACATGTAACTGTACACAGCACCACGCCTGGAATACAAACTACACATGTAGCTGCACAACATGATACACCTGTGCCTGTACTAGGAACACAAACTATACTACCCCTTAACATCCAGAACATGTATAAAATACTCAAAAGGGTTAATGCAAAGAAGCTACAGAAATTGAATAAGAGCTTACAATATCTATCTGTGTCTGTCTTCACTCAGTGATAAGCTGAACGCTCTACGCCGTCAGAAAGAAAAACTAGAGGAGAAGATCATGGACCAGTACAAGTTCTACGACCCCACACCCAAAAAGTAATGCTTTTATTAACACCTTTAATTTTCTTTTTGACAGAAAACATGGAATTTCAGATTTATGCCTGATATATAACAAATATAAATGTGTGTCGTCAGGAGGAGTCAGTGGTCCGGAGCCAAAGCTTTAGTCAAACTGATTAAACCCCGAAAGGAGAGCAGCAGGGAGCGAGCGGGTGACCGAGACAAGGAAGGAGGCAAAGAGAGAGAACGAGCGAAGAGCGCCCCAGACATTCCTCTACCCGCCCCACCTCCCCTTCTGCCCCCTGAAACTCCACCCCCACTCCCCCAGAGGACGGCAAGCGACACGCAGGACGGCAGCCATGCCCATAGTAACCATAGTAACCATAGCAACCACACCACCAGCCCCAGCATGGGACCCCAGAGTCCAGCACTCACGCCCATCAGCCGAGGTAAACGCACTCACACACACACACACACACCCAGAAATAACAAGCCCCTCTCCATGAAGCACCCTGAAGGATTTCACCCTGTCAAAGACACGTTCAGAAACGTGACATCGGCAGAGAAATGAATGTCTGTGGTTTGCTCTAATGGGGTATGGTAGAGAGGAAACTGTACAAATATAGTTTTTTATTATGAAATGCGCATACAGCCTATCCAAAACCACAAAGCTGACGGAACATGGTGACTTGGATCAGGCGCACCTCCCTATCTGCTCCTATAGAGGGCGCCGTTGACCACCACATAACTGACTGATTTCTTTACCGTCTGTTTGTGATCTCTGATGTGTTAACATCCACTGTATCTGTTCTCTACTGTGTATCCACGTTAACCAGGCTCTGCTACTGCAGTAGAAATACTAATAATACATGGAGATATCATTGAATGTTCTAAAGTAGGTTTTGACTGCATATTTTCCAAACTTTAAGTTCTCACTTACAATTCTAGTTGAAATATTTGGCAGGTATGATACTGTATTTGTCAGAAAGAAAATTATATACTTATAGTAAATATAGTTTTATACAAACAACACAAATTAAAAAATTAACGTCAAATAACATTCAGTCAAACTCAAAAAAGAGAAACACAAGACTATTTTGGACCCCTTGCATTTGTCTTTGCTTTAAACTTATATGATGCAATTTCTGCTGCTAGGGGGATGTAGATGTAGTTTGATGACATTGTGAAGTAATGTTGGATCATTAGAATTGTTGTCTTCATTGTTAAACAACCACCACTGGCAGAAAGTGTGTTTAGGACAAGGTAATGTATTAACGTCTGATTCATGTTACGTTTCCTATGTTATGTTCCTTTCGCTCTCTGCCGTGTTTACCCAAGAATTATAGCAACTAGAGCAAGTAGGAAACACACCGCTACCTGTTTAAAATGACAGATTTTTCATTTGGGATTATGTAAGTACCCACCTGAACAAAATATATTGTAGGTCTGGCGTTACATATTATACCTTTTAACTTATGTTTACAATTGTGGTTTTAGTAAGCTTAAGTCCCTAGATGGAGACATGAATTAGTGGCAACAAAAATAATTGACTCTAGATTGAAGTGCTGTTTAAAGTAACTGTAACTGTGTGTTGTGAAAAATAACAGAAGACTATCAGCCCCTTGAGAGACTATTATTATCAGACTTATTGTTATAATACTGAAATATGCCAAAAATTCGCGTAGACATCCTGCAAAAAAACAACAACAAAACAATCAAGTTTGGTCTTTTCTTGGCTTGTTGTGATGCATGGAATGTCACTGGTCGTCACTTTTTTAGTTTGGGACAATCGGTCACTGAAGACAGCTAGAGAGGAACAGAATGCTGGCAGGCTTTTAGGGTAACCCTGAGCAGTCTGAAATGACAACAAAGATTGCTGTGACAGACAGTCATTCTTGTGTCAACACAACAGGTCAGCGTACTGAAAATCCAATGAAAACATAAAAACATTTTGTCTAGATGATCAGATAAGCAAAAATTAGTTTGTGCTAGTTATGGTCAGCTATATATAGTCAATACGAAGGGTAGGAAGCAAGATAAAACTAAATTACGCTACAGAAAATTCCAATCTGTCCATTAGCTATAGTTGCTAATCCTTTGGAGAGACGCAGGCGACTGGAGCTGATTCCAGCTGACAGTGGGTGAGAGGTGGGGTACATCCTGAACAGGTCACCACTGGCCGTCACAGGGCTGACACATAACCAGGCAGACAACCATTCACACTCACATTCACACTTACGGGTGTCACCAGTTAACCTAACCTGTGTGTCTTTGGACAGCTGGGAGCCGGAGCACTCAGAGAAAACCCACACAGACACAGGGAGGACATGGCTTTTATGTCAAATTTGCCTATTCAAAGGAAACATACTGAGCAGATGAAATGACTCTTTCAAATAAACTACTCAAAATTCATAAACAACCAACATAGATGTGCATTATCGACTTATAGCTAACATAGAAAAATACGATAAACTGTATCTCAATTGTCATTACATTTTTTTGAAATACTACTATTAGAGTTCAAGTACAGTCAAATGTCTTCGGACCAATGTTTACCTGAGAAGTGATCTATATATTTCAACTCTATTATATATTATGTTAATGCAAAAGTAAGTAACATAAAATAAACATTAAAAGATCATAAGCATGAGCAACTTCGAATAGTTCAGTTGGGCTCCTACAAGCCACTAACCCTTCACCCACCCTTTTTTTGCTGGTTGTGTGATATGCATCTCACCCCAACACTGAAATGAAACCTTCACCACAGGCAGAGCTTAAGCTGATTCTGTGAAAGAACGTTATGTGAGTAATCTGAAGGCAGCCAGTTTCCTGTTTGTCAGTCACATAAAATGCATCCTCTTTTGCTTAACATTATAACTCAACAACACAAACTGTCCACTAATCTTATCATAGCAAGCCGTGGCAGCAGCAAAGGTGCTCTGCCTCGGTTAGACTGATTGAAATCTAGTAATATGGTGATGACGGTAATAAACTGTTGGCGATGTAAAATCAGTATACAACCATCTTTAATCCAGTTTGTAACAAATAGTTGCAAGTAGACATAGCTTTGTATTAAGTGTCACATATAAATAACCACTATACACTATAGCTACCTGATGCTTACTTTTCACCATTCTACCCTAATATTAGAACTGGGTTCTAATGCATGGTCCAAACTGTCTTAATGTTTAGTTTTTAATTTTATTTCCATGGGATGTCTTTTTTGTATTGCTCTACTCTTAAATGGGTTTTTACTCATGGCTGAGCTCAGTTCACTTTTAGTTCAAAAAGTGGCTTTATTAATTGAATTACACTGGCATATGGAAGCTGTCATACTCAGCTTATTGAAGGAGATAAGTTAAAACATAAACAATAAATTGCTCTACTATACAGCTATGTATGTCTAAATATGTATGCATAAATAACTCCCCAACATATGCCAGAGTTAGACCTACAATTTCCTGTGTTTGAATTCAGAGTGAGCTGAGGACAGGTCAATGCATGGGTTTTTTACTTGGCAATATTTCTCTGTTCTCTTGTTTTATTCTAATGGATTGTCTTGCATGGTTATCTATCATTTTGCATGCCAATCACATAGTTAATAACTTCTTAACCAACTGTTTTCTTTGACTCACTCACTATCATTGTTTCATGGATTTCTTTACATTTCTCCATCTTTCCCTCCAATCTCTCTCTATTCTCTCCATCTCAGCTCCCGCCCCAAAACGCTTCCGTTTCCTCCGCAGTAAAAGTCAAGACAAGCTCCTCTCCCCACTCTCACCCACACCCTCATCCTCCTCCTCTTCCTCCTCCTCCTCCTCCTCTTCCCGTCCTCCCCTCTCTCTCACCAGAAGACTGCGATTCTGGTCTTCCACTGACATCACAGCTGACGTCAACACTAGCCAGCCAGTGACAGCCAACGGAGTGTTCTAAAAATCCTCCTCTTCATCATGCTTTTTAAACATACACATCCTCATCATCTTCACTCCCACCTCCACATCGGACTGTTCAACAACACTTGTCCCTGAAAAATGCACACATCACACATGCATGCACTTCATAAACACTAATGCAGATTGCACACTCCTCAAGCATACATATAAACAGAACACACACAAACAGGTGCGTGTTGCAGTTGTGAGCCAGCCAGTATTACTAGTAAGTAGTGTGTGTTTGCAGAGATCGTTTGTGTGTGAGTGTGAGCGCACATGCACATGTTTCCTAGCACGTCAGACTTGCCCGCGTATATCTGCTTGTCCTTGAAGAGTTCACTGTTTTTGATTTGTAGCTGTATAAAAAATACTTTGTGTGTGCTGTCACCTCCCTTACCGTGTGTCGCTGTGAGGCTTCATGTTTGTATTAGGAGCAGATTTCATTTCAGTCTGTTCTGAGCTGTGAGTTGCTTGAAGATATATGTGTTTGCTTCACAAAGCTTTGCTTCAAAGTTCGCTCTTTATTCACTCAGCAGTGGCTCATCACAGCCACCTGACTGCAGACTTGTTAATTCTGTCTGCCTGTGTACTTGCTTTAACCCTTGATCTATAAATCCTCTATCTGAAATACACCAAGCACCAAAAGACTATATAGCCTTTAAACACCAGTGTTTCACACTAATATCAGCATATTTAAAGCTGCACTTCAGGTCAACTAATGATGATGATGATGATGATGATGATGATGTGAAAAACAAGGGAGATTTCAGTGTGCTATTATGCTGTAACTTTCACTTGTGGTCACAGTGGTGGCACTTAATAGTCTGACCTTAAATCAGGGAAAGAGAAATGTATTCACAGTAAGTCAGCTAAAATTATAATTTTGATGTTAGATATTGTTACTGTTGGAAAGTGGTCAAAATAACCAGAGCAAAAAACAATCATTTAAATTGTCCTGGAAACAAGAGTTTTGTTGGGTAGTGTTAGAGGATGTCTGTGAAATGCCAACTCTTACGCTGTTTGCCGCAAGCAAGGACTCATATGGACTCAAGAAGAGTGGTTGATTGTCGTCACTCCAGTAGTACGCCATGACAAAACAAGTTTCATTATACAGAGTAAACTCTTTAAACATGTACCTGTTGTTGCTGTTTTGCCATCAAAATGTGCAACTGCATAGTCCAGCTTTTAATTTGACTTTTTTGAAATGCTAAATAAGGATAACGGAATTTAGTGTTTGGCTCAGATAGTTTTTTTCCTGGGTTCTGAGTAAACATTTGGAGGATCTCTATTTTCTTAATGACACATGGCAGCTATTTGCATAAGTGAAGATGTGTTTTTGTTGTGTACATCCTTTTTCACACCTTTATTCGCTTGGGGTTTAGATGACGCACAGTGAGGATAGTAACAGCAGCTGCATTCTTCACAGATAGAACTGCAATAAATACAGGTGTTACCAATGACGCTAATTAGGCTTCTGTTCCATTCAGGTCTAACAGAGTCAGCTGTTGCTGCTATTGTGCTTGTTTGCTCACTGGAAAGGCTCTGCTACACTAAATGGAACTAAACCTTAATCATTAATTGACATTTTTTTGTGTTGTATATTTTTTTTGTTTTCTATGATCATTTCACTTACGTACTTAAGTGTCTTTGAGTACCATAAAAAGCACTCTATAAATAAAATGTATTGTTATTATTAGTAGTACAATTGGTAACACCTGTCTTTACCCTAATATTTCATGTCAGAATAGCTGCTGTGAAGGTCTATCAGAAATTATCTGTCATAATGTGTGATTAGAATCAGACACATTCACTGAGTAATAACTGATCTCACATATATTTGTAAGCTGTCAGTTTGCCTGAATCAATGAACAGACTCCTCATGTCTTGCTTGGCTTTCTTGCAACTCTGTTACGCACACCACACGTCTCATGGTCTACACTGTGGCATATAGGTCAAGATTTGTTCCTTACAGTTTTCTGATTGGTCTGCAGGTTTGACTGACAGGAGCCGGGGTGTTTATCGTAGCAGTACTCCAGGAGGCAGCAATGAGAGTATCAATGGAGAAGATGGACATGGACAAGGTAATTTATATATTAATGCTTATACCCATAACATTCAATCAAAAGCAAGTTTATTAAGATGGAAGTCAAATTGAGGTTTAAGGTATTATCATTTTCACATTCATTTTGAGATGATATACTTATTGTAAGCCTGTACAATGTTTACTTTGTAAACCATCTGCTTGGATTGAGTGTGAAATCAGCAACTGGAATCATTTCACTTTTCATTTAGTTTTAAAACATTTTAAGGTCTCTGCATATTCAGTGTTAACAGTGGCTGTGTAATTGATATATTTCTTGCTTTAAAACCTAAACTGAGACACTGGGAAGGAAAGAGAAGAGAATTAAGAAATGTGTACTTTGTAAAAGGAAGCAATAGAGAAAGAGGGAGGCTAGACTTTGATAAATACTAATGGTTAATTATCGGCTTTTACATTTAAAGTAAAAGGAGACATACAGATGTACTAGCACAGATGTATTATTTTACAAAAAATGATTTTCTGCTTTTAAGTAGAATATGAAAGAATTATTCTGCAACCAGACAAAGTAACCTCTTTTCCTGCCCCAGTTCAGTCCCTTAAAGCTCTTAGTTCCACTCCGAGCCACCAGTCATCCTCAGCAGGCCTAACCAACAGCTCCAGACTGGGACAAGGTCCCAGCCGCAGGCCCAGAGGTAAACCAGGTTATTAATACATAATACCTTATTCGAAAGTCAGAAAGATTGAGTGTATTTATGATGGTGGGTGAAACATTTCAGGTCTGTTATTTGATGAAGACTCTCGCCACAACACCTCCGACTCAGTGTTTGGTCACCATGGCAACACGGGAGGTCGCCCAGGGTCGGCAGACTTTAGCCACAACACCTCCAGCTCCAACTCACCTGTTAACTGCAGAGGTACACACACATTTTAACAGCCAACTCTGTCTAAAGCAATATTTAGCAGGATATTTGTATAGATGTAGCTATTATCTATTACGGATAATAGATAATAGCTCCGTTCATATACAGTTCATACAGTGTTGTCCTATAAACCCTGCTGTAATCAGGTGGTACCCAGTTACAGTCAGTAATAACGCTGATATCTCCCTATGTCTTAGACTCGTCAGATCGTCAGGGTCGCTCAGCCAGCCTCTCTAGTGATGATGTCATGGGTCTCAGCCAATCACAACAGACCCTGTCACGTAGTTCCACACTTCCATACGACCACGCACACCAGAGGGCCCAACCACAGCGTGGAGTCGGCATTAGGACCAAGGCCCGCCCATCTTCTCCTGGAAGTGAGATGGTGACGCTGGAACAGTTTCTACAAGAGAGCAACATACAGTCACCTCCGATGGTAATATATACATATATTATAAAAAGAAATCTGCTTTTGATGCTAATATGTACACACACAACAAACATAGTGGTATAGTTATATACATATAGTGTGTGGTAATAAATACAAACAGTCACAATATATTAATTTGCTCAAATAATAACACACATACACTCAGTGTTCACTTTGTTATGTGCACCCCCGTTTTTATATCTCATCACCCGAGACAGTGAGTTGTCTACAATAAAACATAATTATAATACCAACACAATAAAAACTCATGACAAGTGAATTCCCATTTATGTACACACCTCTTCTGGCTGTTAGAGGAGTTAATGTGGTAGGTTTAACTTGGAAAAAAGTGTGAAAGAGAACTGCTGCACAGTGAAATACAAACTAACAGTCACCAGTGAGAGAGAGCAAATCATTATTAGAGGTTCCTGTGGGTCATTGATTTTCCACAAAGAGGTATCTGTACAGATCAAGGCAGGGGATATGAGAAATGATCACGGAAAGTCTGAGGACATTAGGAATGAGTCACCTTAAAAAAAGATAGTAGAATGTGTTTTTTAATATGAATCACAAATTCATTGCCTTTGATGGTGTTTTGGGGTTGTTGTGTTTTTATTGGTCCTCCACACACCCAAGAGAAAAAAACATTAACAAACCAGAAAGAATAAAATGTTTTGGTTGTGGAATTCTTCAGCCTTAAAGACTTAAAAACAATTCACATTACTGATGTTAAGCTCTCTCATTGGAGACAATGGGCTGCTGTACACCATTTTGCTTACTGCTCTGAAACTCTTCCTGTCAAACAGTGCCTTTTTGGATTGATCATGTGAATCTGAAGGCAGCAACTCAATAAATGTTATGATAGATGCAAAAAAATTTGAGCCCTTCGAATCAGAGCCTAAGGCCCATGAAATCTGATGATATTTGGTTCTGAGCTGCAGCACTGAAATAAAATAAAAATAATAATTAATTATTATTATTATTATTTTCTGCCCATTTTTCTGTATTGGGTCATTCTTTCAGAGTAAAGGAAAGCCAGTTTTCTCCCTGAAGCTGTTTCTTTCTTGGATTTAGAGATTGAAGTGGATTTCTGCAAGTTTAACTGCAGAAACTCTGCATACAATCATTGTATGCATTTATTTAAAAAATAATCCGTACCGATCGCAAATGATTGATTCTTCAGTGTTTTTGTTTTGTTTGTTTTTTTCTTTTTTTCTTTTGACAATTTTCACTGTATTTTGAGTTTTTTGTTTTGCTCTGATTGAGGGGAGTCTGTTCGGGCTGTAATTTGGAGCATAATCTAGATGTACTTCTGTGGTTATTTTCAAATTTGAAACACACACCAATTCTGTTATAATGCTGACATCTAACTTTGAGGAAAGACACTTTTTACTCTGAATTATTTTATCATATGAAAAAAGAAATGACACATGTTATGTTAGACAGCATATCTTTACTCATCAAATAGTTGCACATTATTAGTTTCCAACTGAGCAATAGACACTCATTAACTAGTCCTTGTCCAAGACTCCTGCCTACAAATCAGATCTTTCATTACATCTGTAGATGTACGGCTGAGCCAGACATGTGAAATCAGCGTGAGAATATAAAAATCAGACAAACGGATATCCTGTCTTACTAAAAGAACTTCACCACCCATAATAATTCTTATTGATGAGGCACACATTCCTATGACCAAAAAAAAGAAACGCAGGATGATCCAGATACTAAGTTTAAATCAATATAATGAATGAACACTGATCCCCACCCTTACATCAAAGGTTTTTGTTTCACAACAATCGACCAACATCACACGTTTCAGTTAATTGTTTCTTTCAGAAATAACGATTTTTATCACACTTGCTCACAAAGCACATAACAGGAGGACAGAACTCATAATAGTGAAATAGGAATGTAATAGATTTAGGCTATGGAAACATTCTTTGCATCATTTATACTTGGACGGGAGGTGTGTGATTTTTTTGACCTGGGAAGTTAATTCGGCCATGGTTTTATGTGATACTTGCCAGTGAAGTAAAAAATAGCATGTCAACATGATTAGTATTAGCTTTTTATTTGTCACACAACAGTCAGATAGGTTGTCAGTAATCAATACATGCAGGTGGGGAGTGCTGTCTGCCAGTGGAAAATGAGTGACATGATATTTCTGTGTGGTATGCCATCAGCCACTTTTCAATCTCGCTGTCTCATAAAATCAGTGTTCGCTAAACTGGAAAATATCTCCCTCATTTATTCTTTCTATTCTTTTTGTTTCCCTTTTTCCAGGTGTCTACAGGAAGCAGGGAGGACCTGATGGCAGACTATTTCACCAGAAGTCCCGCCCCCTCTACACCAGCTGGCAGAGACCAGGTGACTCCCACCAGCTATGTCACGCCCACTGTGCAGTCATCCAACCAGAGGCCGGGTCAGAGTGTCAAGCCCTCGCCCCGCCAGCCTGTGGGCCAGTCCCCAGCCTCAGGCCAGCCCTCCACCCAGAGAACCAGCCAATCACTGAGCAGGGCTTTCAGCCTGGCCTCGGCTGATTTGCTGCGCTCCAACGGACCAGACAGCTTCCATGGCAATGAAGGCCAATCAGACGTGGTCGTTCGTAGACAAGGGGGAGGGGCTGGGAGAGAACGGCCTCTCTCCGCTCGCCTGGCCGGTCCGACCAATCAGCACGGAGATGGCAGCTTTCTAAACCCGCCTATTCACCATTCGTCCTCTCTCAATCTGCAAACAGAGAGGTACGCAGAGAGAGAGCGAGAGAGAGAGCGCGAGAGAGAGCGAGCGAGGCGCCAGGACCGCGTCTCTCGGACGGCCCCCTCCTCGCATCCTCCCCCTACAACCACCATCGGCGAGGTCGCCATGGCTAACCCCCGTCAGACGCCGTGCCCGCTATGCGGACCGAAGAAGCCTCTGAGCCTGGAGAGGTGTTAAGGGACGGGCGGCGTCACGGTGACTCCTCCCACTTAAGAAAGAAAAGCGAGAGAGCCAGGTGTGCTCTGTCGAACGCCCGAAAAGCACGCAGCTTCCCGAGCCCCAACAACGACCCCTCAGAACCTGGATGGTATGAGTACGGCTGAATGTCTATAACACTGCAACTAACTGGACTCTATAGTGTGGCGATGTAATAAACGAACAAGAAAGTCCAACCTTTTAGACACAAAACATCAGTCTCTGGACTGTGCCCTTGTGTGTGATAAATAATCTTTACGTGCGTTAATGCGTGCTCAAATATAACATCAAGTTGGAAATCGGTCTAAATCGAAAGCAAAGCCACATTAAACAAATCTCTGCATGAAGGATTCAGTCTGTATCTTTGTGGACAAACGTTTGTAGATGAAACAAACACCTCCTGCCAACAGGAGCTGAGGAGCGCCCACATAAAAAAATCACAGTTTCAACCTCAATCACACCTCAACTGCTGGATCGTGGATCCATATTCCTCTCCATACCCTTCTCGTCATCACAAGCTGAATCCCTCGAGGCGGATGCACAGTCAGTGGATTTACCTCAGTGACTTCGATCGCTCCTTTTACACGGATTTAACTTGAAACGCCACCCACCACCACTATACCGAGATGGCTCTCGCAGGAACTGCCGTGAACTTCATCTGCCCTCCTCGCTGCTTTCTTTACGTTAATCACGCGTATTACTATGATTCACGCAAGCAGCGACCCTCTCAGGACGGGTTTTTTTCCTGGGCAAAGAATCACCAACATTTTTTTTTTTTCTTTTTTTTTTTTTCTTAAGAAGGTGTCTGCCTATACTGAAAAAATGAATTGTGTGATCGATGACCAGATGATGTCCAGAGTTTGTAATGCTGTGTGGCTAACTTTTAACACAACAGAAATCAAGGGAAGCTCAGATGAGAGATGATGATGTCTACAATCCATCTAAACTTTATCCTGCACGGAACAGAGGACAAGTCTACAGCCGGGACCAGAACATATAAGGATGGGCTTTGTCATGAGCGGAACTATTACTGTTGACCGACACACCTGTCTGGCCTACTAATGGAAGCCACCAATCTGCAAAACTGTACACCAGGAATTAGCCAACTCCGAGAGGGTGGACTGAATCAAAGCCAAGGGACCAGA